TAATTCTAGCAAAAGCCCCCCAATAAAACTGCTTGACTGCCCCAATAAGTCCTTTACTAAAACCAGTTTCTTCTAGGACTTCCCAGAGTTTCACAAGAGGAATACTATCATAAGCCTTTTCAATATCCAAAAACACTAAATGAAGCTCCTGGCCAACAATTCTCTTCTTTTCGGTTAACTGGGTAACACAGAACAGATGATCAGCGGTAGACCGACCAGCCCTAAAACCTGCTTGCTCCTCCGCCTCGAACGGGGTCCACTCCTCTTCGATCTTCGCTTTCAGCACTTTTCCATAAATTTTACTTATCGTTCCTGTCACCGCTAACCCTCTGTAGTTCCCACAGTCATCCTTCCTTCCTTTTTTATGCGACGCTGTTATCCAGGCCTCTTTCCATTCTTTCGGGATGTCATCACCGTCAATGCACTTCTGCAGCAAATCCCTGAGATGGTTAACCAACTTTCCAGTCCCACATTTAATTAACTCGGCTGGAATGTTTCCTGGCCCAGGAGCTCTTCCATTCATCAATTCCCTGATTGCTTTGACCACCTCCTCAACTCGAATTTCCATTGAGTGATCCTCGACTATATTTTCAGCATTCCCCGTTTGAAACTCTGGTCGTCCTTCCGTCAATAATTTATTAAAATGTTCGTCAAGCTGTGAGATTGTTATCGGAGATATAATGTCCCGTTTCATGTCCCTTCTTAGGCCTTTGATCAGCTTCCAGCTCTCAGCACTCTTCCTTCCCCCCAGGTATGTGTCAATCCTTGAGCAGTTGGTCTCCCAAGACTCGTTTTTCTTCCTGGTGATTAAAAGACGAACCCTCGACTGGGCTTTCCTATACGCGCCGCGGGTGTCTGCAGTCCTAGAAGCCAGATAGTCATGGTACTTCCTACGCTTTTCTTCAATTACCTCCTCTACCTCTTTGTCCCACCAGTAGGGTTTCTGTACATCCTTGCTCTCATTACACATACCCAGGGCTTCCTTCGCAGCTGAATGTATGCAACTTTTGATGAACTGGTACAACTCTTCTGCAGTATCGAAAGTTTCTACTCCCAGTTTCTCATCCAGCCGCTTCCTGTAGAGCGCTTTCACGCTTTCATGCTGTAAGCTATCGATGTTGTAGTGCACTTGTTCGATCTTCGTTCCTTGTGGCTGGCACTTCTGATGTTGCGGTAAACTAAAATGCCTAATGCCTTTACGACCGGATTTATTCCGATAATTCGCGAGTCATCGAAAAAATTCGATGGAAATTTTCGGCGAAATTTTCAGAGAGCGTCAATCACAATTTATTGTGGTCAATCTAAAACTTTCAAGGATAAATCTATGGCCAAAGTGCAAAACCGTGTATCTGCATTGCGGTGTTCCAACATTTCTGCTCCGATTTTCTTTTTGCGAGGAAAAACAAGGCCACATTATGGCTTGAAATTTTTAAATAATATTCTGTTAACAGAGCGGGAAACTCAAGAGAATTTTCAAGAAATTACGCCGACTAGTTTCCCGGTATATCCGATACTTTCAATGATAAATCGATAGTCTTAGTACGAAACCACGTATCTCCATTGCGGTGTTTCAAAATTTCCGCTGCTATTTTATTTTTTCTGAGAGAAACAAGGCCACTTCAAAGCTTGGCATGTTTACAGAATATTCTGCTGATAGAGAGAAAAATTCAACAAAATGTCCAAGAAATTACGCTGACTATTTTTCAAAAGAAACAGCGAAGTGTGACAGGAACTCTGCAACGTCGTAAAAGGAGATACGTGTTTTTGCACTTCGTCTATCGATATATTCACTATCTCTCTCCAAATAACTGGGATGTGCAAAAGAAGCGCTCGATTTGCCAGTAATGTTTCAATTATTGAGTTAAAATGTTCCGGCTTGGACTATTGTTTATATCATCAAGGAGGAAAACCTTTTGGGTAGTCACGACCTTCAGTCCCCCCAAGGGGATAGAAGCACCCCCCAAAAATATAAACATTTTCAAATGAGGGCCCCCAGTTGTCACACATCCAGTTATAGCGTATCGAGCGTTTCATTTGCCCGTCCCGGTATTATATACCAGTGGCATGGCGTGAACAATCGATTATCGATATTTCCTCATTTTAAGCTATGGTATAGAATCGATTAATAAGGTGTTCGATAGAGCATCCTATTTATCGATTCTTTCCCATATGTTTAAAAGGCAGATCAATCGATATGTCGCAGGCAAATGGTAAAATCAGGCATTTTATCAAATGCCTAGGCAAATAGTCAAATATTCTAACTGAGATTGAAATCCTGATTCTTTTCCTGACTTTGGACAAAATAATTTATTGCTTCTGTAAGAAAAACATTTTAAGTAAAAATTTGCATCACACAAAAGTATTTTAAACGATTTTCAGCTCCTGAACAAACACTCATCTCTAAATTTTCAGCATGTCATAAAATACAGGATTTTTAGAATTTCAACATTTAAAAATATGAGGAGAAATTGAAAGAGAAAGAGACTAAATAGAGAGTTAGAGAGAGACTAACTAAGAGAAAGTTCGTAGGTTTGACGAGTTATTTTTCCAAAAATATTGAAAACTTGTGAGCTCTTCGCCATAAATTCACAAAATTGTGTAGTCCATCAAAATTATACTATATGCCTAGGCATTTGACAAAATGCCTGATTTCACTATTTGCCTGCGAAAGTTATATCGCAAAGAACGCCACGCCACTGCTATATACTGGGAAATTTGGCAACATTCAAATGCTCATACGCTGTTCTTCCTCATAATTTATTGTCCCGAGGCCTAAATTGAATTTAAGTGGGAGGGAAAAAGTGGCCAGCTTACGGGCCGACGGCTGGGACGGAGGCGTGGCTAAGCACGTGGAAATAATGCGACATCGAATGCCGATGGAGTTTGTCAATATTTAAACGGCGGCCGGGGGCGGGAGGGGGGTGCCGGAGGGGATGAAGTGTTTATTGTGAAAATTATGCTCTCGATATTTTCGACGAAAAGTGCGGTCCACGACTCCGACAGCCCTCCGCAACGATGAACCATCTCGTCTTGATTAATTATAATCCGCCGCGCTCCGTTTCGGCTTTCTCGCTGTTGCGCGCAGTTGTCACTCTCCCTGGTGCCGAGTTAATGACGCTTAAAGAACGCGGAAAACGTATTTTATTCACCTATGGAACTCATTTTGGTACTTGGGGGTTTTATTTTGGATGGAGCTACGTAAGCGGGATCAGAAATTAAAAATTTCAAGAAAATAAAGGGAAATTTCATACTGCCGTGCTAAGGAAGAACGCCGTATGAACATTCGAGAGTTGCCAAATTTATTTTCATAAAATGTTTATTTTTGAGGAAAGTTATGAATATTTTTCTTTAAAGTTTTCAGGAACTATAGGTAAAATCATGAAAAAAATTCTCTGAAAAATTGGAAGAAAAAGAGTAATAAGTTTAACAGGGAATCCGTGTTTTATCGAAGAAAATCTGGCAACGCCTGGAGGCTCATACAGCGTTCTTCCTTAGCAAGGCATCATAGTCAGAGGCCATTCAAGGATCACGCCATTTTTGCCGATTACTAGACCACTTTCCTCCCTTTCAACCAGCCGTGAGCCAACCCCTAGCCCCCTGCATTTATTTTACTGAAGCCTTGATTGCCCCCTCCCCCAATTTTTCAAAACCTAACTCAAAAACTGGCGGCATTTTCCATTTCAACACATGCATTATAGCAGATTAGGCAATTTGGTCATTTAACATATCGTCACCTTCCCGGCAAAGTATCACAAGCGCCATTTTTACCGAAATTGAGTTATGAATAGTTCCGAAATAACGAGATGCATTTACATACGAAAATAATCATTTTTTTTTACAACAAATATGTAGAAATATGAATAAAAGTCGATTAAAGTTGATGTATACTTTCGTATCACAAGCGCCATTTGGGAGAAAAGTATCACAAGCGCCAAGTTCGGCAACCGCCTACCTTTCTGATTGTTTTACAATTTTTGTCACGGCAGTCTTCGGAATGACTTGAAACTAAATTATTTTCGCATGTAATTACATCTCGTTATTTCGAATATAATATTTTTTTTAGACTAAATATAAATAAATATTTAAAATACTCCATTGAAGTTGACGAACTTTCGTATCACAAGCGCCATGTAAGAGAAAAGTATCACAAGCGCCAAGTTGGGAATAATCGCTCATCTTTGAGATTGATTTTCGATATTAGTATCAACAACTTTTGGAATGACTTGGAGCGATTCGTCACTTTTCGGCCGAAGTATCACAAGCGCTATTTTTATTAAAGTTGAGTTATGGGTAGTTTTGAATTAATAAGATGCATTTACGTACGAAAATAATATTTTTTTTTAGATTAAAAATGAAGAAATATGGAAAAAACTCCGTTAAATTTGATGGGCTTTCGTATCACAAGCGCCAATAGATTCTCAGAGTGCCCCGAGAAGCCGATATCACAAGCGCCAATTTTCAAAGAAAAACCCGTTTTTTTAAAGAAATTTTATAAAAATTCGAAGGAGGGAGGTGTGCTGGATCTATATTTCAAGTTTCAAGCCAAACATCCGTCTTTTACGGTCGCAATTCAGTTTTTTGTGTCTCTTGAAAAGTTGGCAAAGTGGCGCTTGTGATACTTTGCCGGGAAGGTGACGATATTCCGGGAAAAAAATGAAGTTGATATAACATTCTGGATGTAAAAAAAGTGTGGGAGAACTTATAAAATGCTGAATTACCCGCTACAGCAGTTACGTAGCAATGCCAATATGTAAAATTAATTGCGGTGGCTGGTAATTCAGCAATTCATGAGTTCTCGCACACTTTTTTTACACCTAAAATGTTAAATCCATGTCACTTTTTTTTCGGTGCTCCGATAATAGTTCATTTTAGAAATCAAGGATATACTCATGCTGAGTTTACTCAGTAGTTTCTTTTTAATCATGAAATCCACAACATTTCTGACACCTGCGAATTCTCCATAAATGATAAAGATGAGAACAGGATAAGAGCTAAAATACCTGATGAAAAATGGAGGCAAGAGAGGTGTGAGAGACTGCAGAGAAGAAAGCTGATCCAACGGAAATTCCGATCGGTATCTCCCATCAGAGCATGAGTCAACGGCCGCGGCTCAAACGAAAAACGGAGAAAATAAATCGGAAAGAAACGAGGAAAAGGAAAAGCGACGACGAAACGGGAAAGAATACATCGGGTTCGACAGCACTGGTTTGGCGTCGGTGCCGACCTACATGGCGGGAATCAGGACTGATTGACCGGGCCCGATCAGCCGCGAGTGGCGATGGCGCGAAAGAGAGTCATTCGCGCGCGAGTCGGATCTTTCCGAGATCCAGGAAACCCGATTCCTCCGCTGTCGTCAGAATTTTTCCCTTCCTCACTCTCGTCCATGACGCGGCTATTTTTCTTGCTCCTTCATCTGAAACAAAAAGTCAAATAAATTCTATTAATTTTTATACCAAAAATAAAATGCTCACATTTCATATCCCGAAAATAGCAATTAAGAGGAGTAAAAAGTAAAAATACAGTAATGAAGAAGCCAAAATTTTTAAAAACATCACTGGAAAAAAAACACATTGGATCTAGAGTCCAGACTCTTAAAAACATCGACAAGAAAAAATACTCTTGATTCAACCGGATTTTTGCTTAAATCAAGAACCAAACCTCTTAATTTGAGCGGATTTCCTTTTGATTTAAGCAAAAATCTGATTGAATCAAGAGTATTTTTTCTTGTCGATGTTTTCAAGAGTCTGGACTCTAGATCCAATGTGTTTTTTTTTCCAGTGCAGAAAGGAATCAAGCCACATCACTTAGTGCCAAAAATTTGGTTTTATACATGAAAAGGATTATGCTAATCTTTTTTTTTTGCAAATTTTAGTTATTTTCTGCAGAGTACGAAGCAAATCCCTTAAAATTTTCGAAAAAATTCACACAAGTGCACCAGGACGTGTTGCGTCTTCACGGGCTCATCTTCCTCAATAGTGCAAAATAATAAGAGTAACGCGTAACGCATAACGCCTGAGGCGGGAAGCGCTTTGGAAGGTTGAACCGCGAAACTTTAAGAGGGCGTGGCCCCTAGTATCTATACAAAATCAGTGTCAGTGTGCTCAAATCAGTGTTTTATCCAAATTGTTACCACAAGACCTTTTTATTTTCCTACCACGATGTGACTATTTCTCCTAAGTTTGTCGTCCCTGGCTTGTCCATTGTAGACTCAGACATTCTCAGAAGATTTTATGCGTCAAAATTTAGGAATGCGAGACAAACCATACAACCGTTTTTATGACCCGTTCTGGGCCACACATAGTGCTAAAATATGAAAGCAAATGATTCATTGATAACATCATTCATTCACCTCAGATTTAAAACTGGTCCTTGATAAAGTTCCTTCTGTTTTTCCCGTATTTTTTTATTGCTGCTAAAGTCTTTTGGAAACTGATCAACTCAATTTCGTTTTGAGGAAAAACACCGTATGCGAATAATTCAAACATTAACATATTTCCTTGACATAATATCTAATTTTGAGAAAATCCATGCGCATTTTCCCTTAAATTCATCGGATGCATTGACGCATTAGAAAAAATTGGCAGCAAAATTCTCTGAAAGTCTTAAAATAAAAATCGCACGTTTCCATAAAAAAAAATATTAAAGAACATTTGTCGTCGTCCAAATCCTCAAACGGCGCGCGGCATTCTTTTTCGGCATCGCAGCATTGGTAACAACTTTAGGATACAACTATTCGAACTCAACGGATGTGCGTGATGCATAACCAAAATGACGAAGGCGTTCTGTCTTCTCGCACTTGCAGTGGCATGCATTTCACGCGTGTTGGTATTTCCAGCACTTTGCGGGAGCTGAAATTAGTGGTGTGTACGCTGTGCATTAAGGAGAGAAGATATGATAATAAATAATTACGATCTAATTTCAGAATTGCTGATCATTTTTATTCTTACTGGATGTTCAACTGTAAAAATACAGCTATTATTGGTTACGCCTGCTGCCAGTTGAAAACTTTACACGCAGCATTCGCAGCGCCACTGGTGAGACCATTTCAATCACAGTTTTTTCTCAGGGCAAAAATCCTCTTAAAGAAGGAGATTACCAAACAATTTTAATACAAAAATCACAAAAAAACCGAAACTGGAGGAAACCCAGATTTCGGTATCCTGCCAGGATAGTCTCCAGAGCACCAAAGGGAGAGGGGGGGTGTAGCACTCACAGCACCACTGGTGAGACAATTTCAATCACAGTTTTTTCTCAGGGTAAAAATCCCCTCAAACAAGGAGATTACTAAACAATTTTAATACAAAAATCACAAGAAAAACCGAAGCTGGAGGATTCCCAGATTTCGGTATCCTGCCAGGATAATCTCCAGAGCAC